GTTTAAAAAAAAAATAAAAAAAAGAATTGAGTTGATAGCAATGGGTTTGGGGTTTTTATTGTAGTCTACGATATTTGGAAATGCAATCTTAGCAGGGCACATATTTATTAATAAATAAATATTAAATATAATTTTACCTTCAGAAGGAATATTCAAATAGTTATTAGGAAAGGCATGGTTTTTTTTGCATCGCAGAATGTCTGTGGCTTATAAAATAAATGATATAGAATCTACTCACAGTAGAAATTCAGCTTTTAGCTCTACAGTTTGTTCTTACTTTATTTTGAATTCCTCTGTGAAATTTAAAGGAAAACCTGTTTCTTTCCCCCCCAAAGTTCACAGGTATTTTTAATTGAAGAAATTACATAACAAAGAATAATAATTTTCCTGAGGTTAAAAATGGCTAATTATTAGCAGTACCAAAACTCAATTCTCTCTCTCACTTACGTTCTCTATTTTGAGGTCTCTCACTTTTACAGATGCAGTCCTTGCATCCAATTGGTAGTAAATCCAATGTTTGGACATATATCCAGAAATTGGCAATTTATTACTACTTCTACTGCTACAACCCTTTCTTAGGCTACCACCATCACTCTCCTATGTTAGTGCAGTCACTTCCACCTGCATCCCTTTTCTCCTTTTTTCCTAGTTTTCCGTCAACACACCCAACAGTATAAAAAAACTCCCTGACATTGAGTCAATGCTCACAGCACTGTAGCCCACTATGGGTCTGTAACTGGACATGGGAGTATTTCTACCCAGTCTTTCTCTCTTGGAGCTGCTGGTGATATTCAATGGATAAGCATATTCATCTTCCCCACTGCAAAGAATACCTCTTTTCCAGTCACCTAATAATAACATACCATTCTTACTGCTGCATTGTAATGTAATTGTGTTTCAGGAAATGGAACTGCTTGAGGACAAGGTCTTTGGGTTGGTAATTTTTTTTTATTACCTAGATGAAAACAAAGAAATACTTGTTGAATTACAAAGAGTCTTTATTCCCTCTTCTATCTAACAGCGATTTTGTAAGTGTGGGTTAAGTATCAGGCACACTTCTATTTGCTAGTGAAATAGCCATTGTTAAAATCAGCGGAAAGCCTCACCATGATGGTACTGATAGGACAAATCATAAATAATATAAAATAGTAAGATATCATGTGTTAAGCTAAACGTACTTTGTAAAGAAATGACGCTAGAAAGAAATGTAGGGAGTATTGGCATCAGATGTAAGTTTCCATAGGATGGCCTGGGTAGATTTCACTCTGAAAGTGTTACTTGTGTACAAGTCTGATGGCAGGGAAGGGTGTGCGATGTGAATATCTAGGAAAGAACACTCAAAGTCGAGTGAAAAGCAAAAACAAAGGCCACCGGATCAGAGTACATCTGTTAACCTAGGATCAGTTAAGAAGGTCATTGCTGTTAAGAGTTGAGATATAGAGAAAGTTAAGTAATAAGACATAAAGGGTAGACACAGATCTTATAGTACTTCGTCAACTCTTGTAAGGACTTTGGAGTTTAGATGAGATAATACACGTTCTTCAGAGATCAACTATACAAAAGAATGTCATATTTTATCCTGGTGTTTGGAGTTGGAGAGGGTATCTGGAGCAGAGAAGTGACTGCTCTGAATTGCAGTTATTACAGGAGCATGGAGCCCTGGTGGTGTAGGAGTTACTCATTGGGCTGTGATCCACATGGTTATCCATTCAAAACCACCAGCAGCTCTAAGCCTGTTTTTTTAACAATTGGGAGAAGGGTGCAAGCCAGGCTGTAAATAGAGATAACACTTGACAATTTTCAAAAAGGGTGGAATGAGTATATACATATGTATACTTAACATTTAAATAGATTTAAAGAAAAGCAACCAATTTGACCTGAATATAGATCTTTGTAAAAATGACTCCAAAGTGTTTATAGTTCCACAATATGTGAAAATTTTAATGTTGGGTCCTGAGGCCTTTCATAAATTCCAGGCAATGTTAGTATTCTCTGAAAGCAGCACAATTTGAGATAGAATCTTTAAACATTAAGAAATCAAACAATTCCTTGACTTCTCTCTTATGCCGGTGCGCTCTCGCAGGCTGGAGGCCAAGGGAACACACACTGCAAGAGGGGCCTGGCCTCCCTCTCAGAGTTCCCTCTCAGGCCTCTTTTGGATTTCCTGTGAATACCTGAAACTTCCCTTTTCCTCATGAAAGTCACTTGGATATACAGAAAGAAAAAAAAAAAAGAAAAAAATGTAGAAACACCACGGAAAATGAATGCCCAAATAGTACATGGCTTATAGCAAAAGTACTAACTAAATTTCTAATATATTCATAGTTTTCAGTAATTTATGTAGGCCTGTCCCCATCTGGCCTGCTTTGCCCTACTCCAAAGCCCTTTGATCAACATGCCTAAACCTAGAGCAATGCTCCACTTTTCCTTTTCTTCTCCCACTCCACACGATGACCTCTACACTAGAGCAGTTCCTAAGATTAACCATATATTTAAAAAAAGACACCTGGTGTGGTTGCATTTTAGAAAAAGAAAATTCTGTTGTCAGAAGCATGCTGGATAAATTGTTGGTTCTACACCATCCTCAGGTTTTGACAATTTTTTGAGCAGTTAAAACGTCAAGCAGGAAACCTCAAGCACTCCCGGAAACCATAGCAAGGGCCTGAGAAGAGATCATCCTTTTTCTGACCGGTGGCTGCTCTTTTTTATTGGGGTACACAGCTACAGTCGGAGGGCGAACAAAAATGTCCGGTGAAAGCATCGCCTTCCATAGTGCATGAGCTGTGTTTCTATTTTTTAATACTCATCACTGCGTTCAAATTTTGGTGCTGCAGAAGGATATTGAAAGTACCAGAGCCTGCTAAAAGGACAAGCAAATTTGTCTTGGAAGAAGTACGGCCAGACTGCCCCTTAGAGGCAAGGATGGCGAGACTTTCCTTACATACTTAGGACATAGTGTCCGGAGAGACCAGTCCCTGGGGAAGGAGCATGCTTGGTAAAATGGACGGGCGGCGGAAAAGAGGAAAGTCCTTAACAAGATGGATTGACAGGGTGGGCACAAACTTAACTGAAGTGAGGATGGCACAGGTACGTGCAGTTTCGTTCTGCTGTGCACAGGGTCGCTATGGGTCGGAACCGACCCGATGGCACTTAACAGCAACAATAGTAAAGGTAAAGTCCGCGGCTGATTTATGGACCGTGTGTGCAGTCAGGCACCGCGGGCCAGTTGCAGGAACCTTTGACCATGAGGTCTCTTTTCTGTCCAGACCGTTAAAACGCGAGGATAGGCAGGAGGAGGGGGAGGGGAACAGACAGGTGCGCCCTCTGTTTGGAATGACACAATAGGCTGACTTTACCGCCGCGGTGTCCCAGGCACCTGTTCGCACGCAGGGCTCGCGCATTTGCCGGGCCTCGTGCCGCAGCCGGCCGGCGGGCGGGGCGGGGCGGGGCGGGGCGGGCGCGCAGGGCGCCCGTGTCGGCTTTGAAGCCCCTGGGCCTGCTAGCGGATGCAGAGCCCCGGAAGTAGTAGGCTGTGTAGGGAGTTGTAGTCCCCGTGCTTCCCCGGAGCTTCCCCCACCCCCACCCCCCGGGTAGGCCGGCCCGCGAGGCTCCGCCCACTGCAAGCGAACTTCCTGTCCCGCTAAAACTACACTTCCCGCCATCCTCTCCGTTGGGGGCTGAAAGCGAAAACAAATTTTGATCTGTGAGGGTGCTGCCCTCCGCCGGGTGTCCCCTCCTGCTCCCCGCCCCTCTTCGCCCTCCCGTGAAGTGAGGAAACGAAAGGCCGCCTCTTTCTCTTTTGGTTTCCTCGGCTTCCAGCGTGGGGAGCGCGCCGGGGACGCAGGCCTAGCTTCGTCTGAGCCGGCTCTGCACGCGCGTCGGGACCGGGGGTTTCCTCGCCTCACACTGGTCGGGACCAGCAAACTTGTAGCGGCGGCGACCTCTCGGCCCTGAACCGGGCTTCGGGACGACGGAGAAGTGACTTCTTACTCTTTTTTCCCCCCTTCTCTTCTCTCCCCCTGCCCCTCCTCCCCCTCCCGTTCTTCCTGCGCGTGGTCCCTCTGGGAAGGCGGCCGCGTGCGGCCAGCCATGCATTAGGCAGGCCTCCCCTATGCCCTCGGAGATTGCGGACCCGCCGGTCGTCACCGCCTGCCGCCTTCGGCTCAGCCCGAACCGGAGCCGCCGCTCGTCCTAGGCCGGGGAGGCGAGAAGCCGGGGGAGCGGCCATGTGGGGCTAGCCGGAGCCGCGCTTGGGCTGCAGCACAACCGGCAATATGGAGGGGGCCGTCGGCGCCCCAGACGGCGGGGACCAGGGCGGCGCGGGGCCCTACGAGGACGCGACGCCCATGGACGCCTATCTGCGGAAACTGGGCTTGTATCGGAAACTGGTGGCCAAGGACGGGTCGTGCCTATTCCGGGCCGTGGCGGAGCAGGTAATTTGGCGCGGGCCGAGGGGCGGGCCTGTGCGGCCCCGCGGGGCGGCGGGCGGCGGAGTCTGCGTGGGGAGGCGGCCGCGGGCCCCAGTCCCGGCGGCCCACGTCCGGGCCGCGCGTGGCCGGGCTGTCGTCACAGCGGCCCTTTGTAACGACGGAATGGGACCCACTGCTTTGGGCCCTCACGCTGTGAATCGAAACTTTAAAAACCTGTGAAAAGTAACTGGGTGGCGTCCCTCCTGGTAAAGAGGAGGGAACGAGTTGGAGGCAACTTAATGGAAGTCCGGGCTGAGCCTGAACGATTGACTGACTGGTAGGGACTTTGTGAAACAGCCCCCTCCCTATTTTGTTACGCATTCACCTTCCTTTTGTTTTCTAAGCACCGCGCCCGCGCCAGGAAACCAGGTGTTTCTTAGAGGAGGTCTCGGGGCACCAAACTTTAGACGTGGAGCACCTCTTGTTTTTTTCGCATCTGGACTTTGGAGTGTGGAGTTTTCAACCACGCAGGCGTTAACTGGAGGGCAAATGCGCTCTTAAAAGTACATTATGCTTTTAAGAGACTTAACCTTTGACTAGATCCTACACCTTAATACGTTCATGGGTTCTACAAGACAGGATTTACCCCCCTTTTTTTTTCTTCAAGGGTTTTATTGTTGGTAGGAAGGATAACGGGGCCTTTTCTAGGCCTTTCTTGACCAAATTGTGCAATCTTAAATGTGTCAAAACCACTTAATAACACAGCTGCTTAGGGAAGTATTTCTGATTTAGAGGGCTTATTCTGTTATATAACCTAGTGTAATTGTAGGTATGTAGTCACCTAAGCCCATCTTACATTGGAAAATAAAAGCTACTGAAGTAGTTGGATAAAGTTCAAGGTGGGTTGCCCCCTCTGTGCGGCTTTTTACCTTGCACAGTTAGCTTTCCTTTGGCGAAGACCTAGCCGCCCCTCTGCAGTCTCCCAGGCTTGGTGCCCCCACCACCTTCATAAGGTTGCTTTTTCTCACCTTTTTTGAATGCTAAATAGCTTTGACTGTGAGTTAATGGTTTACCTAATGAACTAATGGGGTTCAGTCTATCCTCATATTTCGATTTCAGAAGTTTCCTAAGGCATTTTGTAGATAAAAGACTTTTCAAAATTTAGGATTGATTTAACAAATACAAACGGTTTTCAACAGGTAGAAAACTTTGTCACTAGATTGGCGGCATTGCCAATCAAAAATTCTAAAGCTCCCAAACCAAGAAGAGCACATGTGCACTATTTTTCTGCTGTTTCTGGTTGTTTCCTAGTCTGGGCACTTCCTCCCAATTTGTGCATAATGTTAGTTCTAGCAAGACTTGATAAAAAAGGAGATAGATACTGGTAGGGAAACAAGGAAGCTTGGAGCAGAGCTTATCTGGAGTTGGATTATCCAAACCCTCGTTTATATTGATGCCGAAAGGTGTGTCTGATTTCAGTATTACATGCCACAAATACTTAGCAATCTTGATCATCCCCAAACCAAATCCACTGCCCTTGAGAAGATGTTTACTAAGGGACCCATTAGACATGCCCATAGGCTTTCCAAGGCTGTCAGTCTTTATAGAAACAGCCACATAGTTCTCCCTCGGATCTGCTGGTGGCTTAAAGCCACTGCCCATTTGGGTAGCAGCCAAGTGTGTTAAGCCACTCTTATCACCAAGGCCTCTTTGATCATCTAGAAGCTTCCAAAACCCAAATCAAACTCAGGTGCCATCGAGTCCATTCCTACTCCTAGTGACCCCATAGGGCAGGGTAAAACTGCTGCCCTTGTTGGTTTTCGAGACTAAATATTAATAGGAACAGCAAACCTTTCTCCTGAGGAACCACTGGTGATCTTGAACTGCTGACTTGTGGTTAGCAGCCCAACTTTTAGTACCCACTATGCCACCCAGGGCTCCTATCCAAAAGCCTAGAATCTTTTAACTGTAAGTAGAATCTGTGTGTATGTGTGTGTGTGTGTGTGTGTGTATAGAGTATAAAGGGGCACCACCAACTAATTCCTCTAACATAGTGTTAACATCAGATAACACAGTTTATCTTCTTCTAATGGAATTTAGGTTAGGCATAGGGAATGCTTCCAATTATGTGACTGATTTTTAATATGTTGTTGGAGAGTTTCATAACTGTAAACTTAGCAGTGAAGCTTAGTTCTTCAATAGGTCTGGACTGAGGGTATAGCCATCACAGCAAATGGCCAAATGCATGTGGGAAAGGGAAAAAGTAGCATCAACTTCAGACTGCCCTTTTTGTGTACAAAGGTTAATGATGGTCAGTTTCTTCTATAAAAGCAATATACTCATTTCTAAGAAGGAGGAAGTAATTTAAATGCCAGTCTTTAAAGAATTGAGTAGTCATTTCCTCCAAAGTATGTGGCTTATTTAGATGGGCCCTTCCCTTTTTATACTTCAGCTTACAGACCTGACCTGATTGAGCTCCACAACCCTGGAGGTGAAAACAGGCACTTTCCTAGAAGCTGCTAAAGCTATATGACACGACCACCTTTTCTAGTGTTTACCACTTAATTGTATAGAATAAGTATTACATACAATTTAGGAAAGCCTCCTGGTTCTAGCTTATTTTCATGTATATAATAATTTGCAAATATAAATATTTGTAAAGACATTTGAATTCCCTAAGTGACCTTGAACTGGTATAATGATTTACTTTCAGAAGGTTATTTAGTCTTGGCAGTGCATGGTTTTGTAGACCCACCAGTATGTTATTCCTTTGTGGAAGTTGCCGAGTTTTCCTTTTGAGTAATAGGCTAATTTTTTGTTAAAATTTTGTAAAACTCACGACCTGTCTGCCATTTTTTGGGGTAGAAAATTAACACTTTACATATGTTCTGTTCTTAGATAAATGACTTTAGATCTAGCTTCACTTGGCTAACTGTAGGAAAATCTATCAGATGACACTGCTTTACTCCCACTAATAATACCTTGATTGATGATAATGTCTAGTATAGCTTCTGTGAAAGAAATCTTCATGTGTTGAATTGGCAATTAATGGATCATCTTTACTGGTGGTGCTGTCAGATAAATTTGCATTGCCCTATTAGCAACAAGATCCACGGTTCCAACCCAGCAGCTATGCTGAGGAAGAACGAAGTGGCTGTTTGCTCTGTAAAGATTTACAGCCCAGGAAAGTAGTGTCATAATGAGTCAAAATTTGGGATTCCTGTGCTGGAAGCTTGGGGTATACAAAAATTCACTGCCATCTAGACAATGCTAACTCATAGGATAGGATAGAATTGCCCCTGTAGGTTTCTGTGTCTGTAACTATTTATGGGAATAGAAAGTCCTGATTTTTCTCAAAGAGCCACTGGTGGTTTCCAACTATAGTCCTTGTAGGTCGTGTCCCACTAAGATGCTTTTTAATAGTGTCTAAGACAGCAATGAAGGTGCACTCAGTTAAACTGAAAAGCAGCTACTATACTGAAAACTTATTCAGTGTACTTCCATGTATTGGGGTATACTAATTATTGATTCTTGAGCCTATGCTTCTGTGAGTATAAATGAGTCTTAGCTTTTATCCAAAGATGTAAAATCGGCTACAAGCTCTCACCAAATTTTCTGCTTAATTGGAACATACGAGAGAATCATTATTAAAAGCTACTTGCTATTAATATAAATTCTCGAGATTTTGGTAATCGTTTGACACACTTTCTTTTAAGTGCATAGCTTGATTTTGTTTACTTTTAACCTTGACCCTTTAGGGTGCCAGGAACACCTTCATTTGAGATACTTAGTAATAGAAAAGAATTTTAATCTCCTCTTAAGTATATTGGGGACTACCGAAAGGTAATCCTAATCATTTGATAAGAAATGGTTTCAAATTAAAGCTTTAGAATTTTAGTAAAAGTCAAAATACCTATATAAGTCAACCATTTGATGAAATGGTTTTAAAAAAACGAATACAGAAGCTACAACGTGAGAGGATCTGGGTCATTCTTTGGGTGGTACTTTAAGATTTTGGACATACCAGCAAATCCCAAGAATATTAGGGTGACAACTCACAACAGCCTGTGTGCATTCTATGTGTTGCTCACTTGGTTCAGTCAAAAGTTTTATAATTATGAATAATTTAGGATTTAAGAATGAATTCCTTAATTTTCCTGAAATCATGGGAGATTTAAATTTCTATGGTCACTACAGACCTTCAGAATTGGGAAAAAGACTTTCTGAAGCTTATAACTTTTAGAAGAAATAGAGCTTTTACAGGCTGACTTGAAGTGGTGACCTCTCTTCTTTTTCAACAAGCATGTGTGTTATGTGCTGACTCATAGTGAGTGACCTGTCTGACAGGGTAGAACTGCCCCATAGGGTTTCTAGGCTTTAATCTTTATGGATCAGATTACCTCATCTTGCTCCAGTAAAGCTGCTGGGGGTTGAACCACCACGTTGGATATAGGCAGAGTGCTTCCAGTTTCCTTTTCTGAACAAAGATGAGGCTAATCACTGCAGAGCAGGGATTATGTTCCTTATCCCTGCGTTGTGAAACGAAAGGAGAGGAACATAACTTAGGTTTACAAAGATTGCCTCAAAGGAGTGCTTTCAATGGCCTGAAGGAAAAATGGACAATACAGTCTGTATGACAGACATCTAGCTTAAGAAGTGCCATGGTTAAGACATTTTTGTATATCATGTCATTACTCTGAAGAAGAGGAAGAAGTAGAAATGTATTTGAATTCCAGAAAGGGATTGAGCGGGAGACAGCTAGCTCTTGGTTGCTATGTTATTTTGGGTGTGAAAGAAGGCAGCTCTAATCTAATCCACATGTAACAAAAATGCTCCATTGTGTTGTTTTTTCTTTTTAGGTGTTGCACTCCCAGTCTCGTCATGTTGAAGTCAGAATGGCCTGTATTCGCTATCTTCGAGAGAACAGAGAGAAATTTGAAGCGGTAAATTTGTTATTTCAAACATATAATGGTATCTTGACTTAAATTTACATCTTGGCCTTCAGAAGTAGTCTGTTGGGACTTTCACAGGTTGGCTATTACGGAAGGTTTTGAAAATAATTTTTATAAGAATGAACTACTTTATTGAACTCATAATTTGTTGAAAACATTTCAGGACATGTATTTGTTCAGACATTTAGGAAGCTGTGGAGGATAGGGAGGCCTGATCATGTAGTGGTTCCATGCTGGGCTGCTGATCTCAAGATCAGCAGTTCAAAATCACCAGGTAACTTCTGAGGGAGAAAGGTAGTGCTTTCTACTCCCATTAAAGACTAAAGAATTACAGTCTTAGAAACTTCCAGCGGCAGTTCTGACTGGACCTTATAGGGTCATTATGAGTTGGCATGCATTTGTTTTTAATGAAGTATTCTGAATTCTTGGGGGTGGAAAGATGAATCTATGTAAGGTCCTTACAAATTTAAGAGTAAGTTTTGTCTGATGTGGTCAAGGAATTGAATGCTGTGGTTAAGAGAAGTTTTTGTGATTGGTCAATCCCCTAGTAATTAAACATTTTCAGACTTGAGCCATAAAAACTATGCTGAGCATAATACTGAACCCTTAATTTGGTCAGAGGGTATTTATAGATTTCTTGAAAATTTTTAAGGTTTGCTGTGAAATCACAAAGCAGGACACTGATTAAACGATGATTAATATTTGATAGAATGTTGTACAACAACTGCTGCATATAGCCAGATGTGAAAGAAGATGCTATACTTTTTCATTTTACATTGAAAGCTTTTGATATACTTATTAGTTACTGGTTTTATAGTTAAGACCCAGAATTATGTCCCCTGACAGCCTTCATTGATTGACGTTTTCACTTTATAGATAGCTCAGTTCTATGGCTTAATAGGTAGATTCTTAGTTTGGATGTTTTTTGGATTGGAGTTCTGATCCTTATACATTTAAGTAAATAATTACTACTGATGATGTTTTCTTGGGGGCTCTGGTTGAATAGTGGTTACACTTTGGGTTGCTAACAACAAAACCACTAGCTCCTTGGAGAGGAAAATGAGGCTTTCTCCTGTGAAACATTCATCTTGGAAACCTTTAGGGACAGTTCTACTCTGTCCTATATGGTTGTCATGAGTCAGAATTGACTCAGTGAGTTAAGTTTAGTGTATTTTAAGATGTGCAGTGATACAGTTCAGGAAGGAGACTTCCTTGGGTGATTAGGATATTTGGACCTTTATATTGTAATAAACATAGGGATTGCTGAGGCTACATAAGAGAATACTTAGGAATGATGGGGGAGAGGAGGTGAAATGGTTTTTATCTTTGAAGAAATTAGTAATTATTGGCTCTAGAAAGTAGAATTCGGTTTTTTGTTGTTTTGCTGCCAGGGAGTCCGTTTGGACTCATTGCTGAGTCAAGTTAGTTGAATGCTATGTGCCAGGCCTATCTTTATTCTGCGTAACTTGGTGAGCTATGATGAGAGGTGGGAAGTTCCAAGGTAGGATCCTTGACTTTCTTGATAGCAAGACCTTTCTACCAGTTTCATCGACCAGATTACAAAGGGCTCACAGAAAAGTGTACCTTGTCACTGGCAGTGTTCAGCCAGGGATTGGATGCAGGATTGAGTAAAAACACAGGTCTCCAATGTTCAATAATGGCTCCTATTTCTAAAGTCCTTAAGTAATCTAATAAAGAATAACTATCTTTGATTAGTAGCCTTTTTGAACCATAGGCTGTTTCATTTAAAATACTTCTTGTTGTGAAACTTAAGGTACTTTCAGAAGCTTGAAAGTAAGTATAAAGTCCATAAAAGAATTAATAATATAAAAAGTTCATGGGAATCTAGATTTTTAATAGGCTGGAAAGTATACTTTAATGTTTTAAAACATGACACTTTGCTAAATTAACTGACAGAGTATTTTACATAAAGTTGAGTTTGGTATTTCAGACACATCTTTTAGTCTAACAGATCTGAGAGACATTGAATCCTCATCTCGGTTTTTCATCTATAGTATTAGGTAGTGTTTCTGTCTTTGCTTTGTTCTCTTCTGTAACAGGTCACTATCAAATTAAATCTTCCTAAAGCAGGACTTTTTATCATGTGGTCTCTCTGTTCAAAACATCAACAGAGACACTGAATTGAATTGCCTTTCCCTTCACATCTGAGAGTCAGGCCTCACACCTTAATGCCCTCCAACAGACCCACATGGAGTTCTCCACTTGGCTTCTCTTCCATGGTCTCACTGGTCAGGGTACTTCTATCTTCCCAACATTACATTGTCCTTTCCTGTCCAGCCTTCATCGTGGGTCACTCTTCTTATAGAATATCTTTCCTGACATTGCTTTCTTTAAGTTTTTAATATGTAGGTGCTTTATATGAAATGTGTATATACTTTAATATATATTGTTAGATTATCCAAGGGGGCTTCAAAATATTTGTGGGAAAATTTCATTATCTTTCAACTATTTTTTCATGAACTTTTTTGAAGCCCTTTTGCGTTTTCTTTTTCAATCATAACTGATGTATTCTGAATTCATGTAAGCCCTCATTACAAACCCAGTGCTATTTTAATTTTACATAGGATGTTAACAGATATACGTTTCTTTGCAGTTTATTGAAGGATCATTTGAAGAGTATTTAAAACGTTTGGAAAATCCACAGGTATGCGATATTCAATATTCACTATATTCAAATACTGTATTTTAAAAGAAAACAGAATATCAAGAGTTAAACTACATCGTGTTTTTTGTATATAATTTTAAAATAAACATCCTGATTCTTCTTCTGGGGAGGCTGTGTAGAGGCATTCAAAATGGTTCAATGCCTGACCTACTGGTATAGGCTGTCCTACAATACAGCCTCTAACAAAACTAGGCTGTCCGAACATGTGGTAATAGAATTGTTTACTTTTATACAAAGAAGGTTGGTAAAGCACCAGAATTTGCATGTGGTTTGTGCGTAGGCCAACTTCGAGGGGTCTGTGCTTTCAAGACCTAAAGTTGTCCTGAGGTTGTCCAAAACAAGTCAGCAGGGCCTATGGTTCCATGTATGCTAAATGTGCCCAGGACAGTGTCAAGCGTGCTTTCCTGTTGAGAAGAAGATTGTTCTGAAAGTGTTGAAGGCACAAGCACAGAGTCAGAAAGCTACATAAATACAAATGAAGGTTTTTGAATAATCAAATGGAAAAAATCCTAGATAGACTTATGTGGTGTTTAAATGGAAGACAGTTAGAGCTATGGGCTAGAGGTTGCCTCACTAAAGGGCAGAGTCATACAGTATTTTTGTCACAAAGGTATGTGAATGTAGTATAAAAGATATAAAATAATACTGGTGATGGTTTTCAAGGTGCTATGTTGGCATGCGTAGGGGTAGCTTAATGGGAGGACAAGGTTTAATTGCTTCTTTAGGCAGCTGAAGTCACTTGCTTTATGAAGTTTGATTTCATGTGATTAGCTTGAGAGAGGGAAGAGGCTATTGAGATAAAAAAGACCACGACTTCTTTACAAAGCTCTGCTTGCACACTTTCTCAGTCAAGTTGAAGTTTAAAGAATTAATTTTTCCCTCCCTGTGTATGACGCTAATCTCACTGTAAAAGTCCAAATATCATGAAATTCTATGTTGAATATCAGGACTTTTTCATGACCCCAGATGTACGGTAAGTAATCACTTAAGCTAAAAAGCATGTCAGCAAAGGACAAAGCTAAGAAGATTCAGGCTAGGGGTAAAGGAATGTACCTTAGGAGAAAGATTGTGAGTTGTGTAAATGATTGGTGTTTTTATTTAGTTCCCCAGCACAATTTGAATACTTGAGGGCCGAGAATTACAAAGCAATGTGCCCTGGTGGCATAATGAATAAAAGCATACCTGATTGTTAACTAAAAATAAAAAGTCAGTGGTTTGGATCTACCAATACCAGAAGACCTGTTGATCTGCTTATGGTAAATATTACAGCCCAGGAAAATCTGTGGGACAGTCTCCTCTGTTCAGGACTCTTTGACCAAGAATACTTATCAGAGTCAAGAGTAGTTCTCGGCATGTTTGCATACATGGATGGATGACAGAATACTAGAGGGCTTCATAAAATTGTTGGAGAAATTTCCATTATTTTTGATTTTTACTTTCCACAAACTTTTTTTTTTTGAACATTTTATTAGGGGCTCATACAACTGTTATCGCAATCCATACACACATCAATTGTGTAAAGCGCATTTGTACATCGTTTCTCAAAACATTTTCTCTCCACTTAAACCCCCGACATTAGGTCCTCATTTTCCCCCTCCCTCCCCGCTCCCCCCTCCCTCATGAGCCCTTGATAGTTTATAAATGGGTATTTTGTCATATCTTGCCCTGTCCGACGTCTCCCTTCACCCACTTTTCGGTTGTCTGTCCCCCAGGGAGGAGGTCACACACAGTTCCTTGTAATCGGTTCCCTCTTTCCTACCCATTCTCCCTTTACCCTCCCTGTTTTGCCACTCATACCACTGGTCCTGTAGGGCTCATCCTCTCTGGATTCCCTGTATTTCCAGATCCTATCTGTACCAGTGTACCTCCTCTGGTCTAGCCAGACTTGCAAGGTCGAATTCGAGTCATGATAGTGGGAGCGGGGAGGAAACATTTAGGAACTAGAGGAAAGTTGTGTTTCTCATCGTTGTTACATCCCACCCTGACTGGCTCATCTCCTCCCCGAGACCCCTCTGCAAGGGGATCTTCAGTGGCCTCCTAATGGGCTTAGGGTCTCCACTCCGCACTCCCCCCATCTCCACAAACTCTTGAAGCCCTTCCCTTTGTGTGACATGATCTGCAGGGGATAAGACCAGAAGTCCAGTTAAAACTTTACAGAAAATATTTTAACATATAGACAAATGTGTACCCTCTATTAACTATAAGAATAAGGTACAATAGTGCTTCAATTTGAGAGAAAAATTTTCTATGAAGGCTTTTCCTCTGACTGCTTTGTTTTTGTGCAAACGGCTTGCATAGTATACAGTTCTTTTGCAAAGTGCACAACCCCCTCACATCTCAGTTTCCTATGTCAAGGGAGCCCTGGTGGTGTAGTAGTTTACACACTGGGCTGCTAACTGAAAGGTCAGCAGTTCAGGCCTGCCTTACAAGTAAAGATGAGGCTTCCTTTAGCTCTAAAAGATTTGTAGCCTCAGAAACCCACAAGGACAATTTCTATCTTTCTAGGGTTGCTATCAGACAGAATTATCTCGCGACAATGAATTTTTTGTTAGATGTATTCTGCATTTTTGAGAGCATGTTATTTTAAACAAATGTAAAATACACATTTACTTGACACCAAGTTTTTCTTTCCATTTTTATTTATTTTTATTAATCATTTTATTGGGAGCTCTAAAAGCTCTTACAGTCCATAATCAATTAGAGCAAGCATAGTTTTACAAAGGCTTACCACCATCAGTTTCAAAACATTTCTTCTTGAACTCTGATATCATCTCCCTTTGTCTCCTCCCTCCCCCACTTTACCCCTCAGGAACCTTATATATTTGCTGTGTCTTATACCATTCAATCTGTCCTTTCACCTGAAATTCTGTTACTTGTTCCCCTTGTGTGGGGTTGTACAGTCATCATTGTTATTACACACACACACACACACACCCTTTGCATATCCTCAGGGAATCATTACTCGGATTACTGTTTATGAAGGGTTATCTATCTTGGCTTTCATGTAGGAAACGATCTTTATTATACAAATGAACATAATGTAGGTCTAACAAAATTAATGAGGTAAAACAAAGACCGTAATAGTAAGGAGAGGAAATCTTGAAGAAATAGAGGATAGTTATGTGTTTCACCAGTGCTATGCTGCACCCTGGATTTGTCATCCCTTCCTTGTGGCCCTCTGTGTCCAGTTACCTTACAGGTGGGTTTGGGTCACCATTTTGTCCATGTTCCTTCGCGTCAATTTGATTGCTTATTTTTGAAGTTCTGATACCTATTCCTGTCAACACCTCGTGAGCACACAGGCTGGTGTGCTGTTTCCATGTGTGTTTTGTTCCTAGATAGCCACTTGTTTAACTTCAAGCCTTTAAGACCCCAGAACGCTCTATCTTGATAGCCGGGCACCATCAACATTCTTCACCACACTTGCTTATGTACCCATTTTGTCTTCAGTGATCATTGATAATAAGTTTTGTTTAGGATTAAGCCAGGCTTAATTTTATTTCCCTGAAGTTTATATTTTTATTTGTCTTTAAAGGTAAAAATTGTATGTATTAAAAATGCTTTTGATATTTTCAGTAGACACCTTTTGGGGTACATAGTAGATGATAAGTTTGTGTGCCAAATAGCTATAACGTGTAATGGAAAAATACACTGGAGTCCTAACTATTGTTATAGGTGATTTTACTTTTTGATAGAAAATACAGGTAATTCAACATATCAGGTTTTTTAATCAGAAAAAAATGTTATTTGAAAATAATCTCTGTGTAACATTCAGGCTATGGAGTAATGAGGATCTGAACCAGGATAAACATAATAGGATTGGGGAGAAGGGTTCCCAGGGAGGAAATGAGGTAGTGTGAACTGTCCAGTTATTTTAAAGGTGTGTTTTGGGTGTCCACTTTGTCTGTGCTCCTTCACGTCAATTTGATTGCTTGTTTTTGAACTTAAGATATAAAGGGGATTTCAAATAATTTTATGAAACAATTCCATTATCTTTAGCTCTATTTCTCCAAGAATATTTTGAATATTCCACTTATATTAGAGTTTTAATTGTACTGCATCCTTGCCAGCACTTAGTAGTGTGTGGTAGTATCTCTCTGTGATTTTAATCTTTGTTTTCCCAATGAATAAAGATACTGAGCGTCTCTCTACATGCTGTTTTTTGTCCCCTCTGTCTTTGTTGGTCATGTCAGCTTTTGCTTTTGTGTATTTGTCTTTTTAAATTTTGAATTCTTTACTGGATATTTGGTACGTATTTTATATTGTCTCAGATTATTGCCCTTTCCATTTTCTTGACTGTCTTCTCAGGAACAGAAGTTACAAATTTAATCTGATGATTTAAATTATGCAATTATAGTGTGGCTTAATAAAACATTTTGCAGAATTTTTTTTTTATCTTTGCTATAAGGAATTATAACAAGAATCATAAATGCTGAATGAAATAAAGTTTTAACCAGAAGGAATTGGTTCTGCAGAATAAATATATTTTTAAATGTGTACTTTTGAGAAATGTGCCCTTTTAACACTTGGAGAAATATTTTCCATTTCTTTTAAAGTGATATAACACCTTTTGGATAACTAGAAATGTCATTGTGTCCATGGTCTTAGCAGACTGATGCCACGTCTACACCAGAGATGTCACATATTGGCTAAGGCCTATTTTAAGAAATCTATTTCAATATATATGTCACTTACTTCATTTTGAAGACCAGAGCCAACATTTTAAGAACGGTGATAAAAGTCTCTTGGGGGAGTATTTCCAGTTGAATTATTTAATTAAAAAAATAATTTTATTGGGGGCTCGTCCAACTCATCACAATCCATACATACATCCGTTGTGTCAAGCATATTAGTATATTTGTTGCCATCGTTTTCAAAACATTTTCTTTCTACTTGCGCCCTTGGTATTGGCTCCTCATTTTTTCCCCTCCCTTCCTCCCCACTTTCCCTGCCTTATGAACCCTCGATAATGTGTTATTATTTTTTCATATCTTACACCGATCGATGTCTCTCTTGACCCACCTTTCTGTTGTCAGTCCCCTTGGGAGGGGGTTATAGTAGATCATTGTGATTGGTTCTCCTTTTCTACCCCCATCTTTACCCTCCTGATATCCCTACTCCTTATTGGTCCTAAGGGATTTATCTGTCCTGGATTTCCTGTGTTTCCAGCTTTTACTGTACCCGTGTACATGCTCTGGTTTAGCTGGATTTGTAAGGTAGAATTGGGATCATGAGAGTGGGGTGGGGGGAGAAACTATTAAAGAACTAGAGGAAAGTTACATGTTTTATTGGTGCTATATTGCACCCTAACTGGCTTGTCTCTTCCTTGTGAGATTAACTTTTTAGTGGAGTAGAAAATCTTTTTTTCCCTCAGAGCGACCGATAGTTTCAAACTGCTGACATTATAGTTAGTTGTCCAATGTGTAACCACTACACCACCAGGGCTCCTGTTAGACGAATCATAAATTTATCACTTACTGTAAAAACGGTAGCATGATATCAGATTCTACCTCATTTAGCTACCAAGGGGCAGGGAGAATCGCCATCAGCACCAGCCCAGGGCTGATTTTTGGGCAGTGGAAGTCACAGATACCTTCTTTGTGAGTCTTTTTGCCAGTTCTAACACAACCTGTCCATCCCGTGCCACCCACTTGGACTAGTATCTTGATTCTGTTCTCTTTTCTTTTCTGTGCTGGCTGACACTTCTCACTGGCTTGCACCTTCTCCAGTGTTGTAGCTCTCTATCCGGAGTCCTGGTGGTTTTCAGGGCAGAGAACTGATGTCCGAAGGACCCACTCGACTCTGTTCCTGGCTCTTCCTTGATGGTAGTGACATCTCCTCCCTGCTTCTGGGATTGGCTCCCTTACAACCTTATGGGATGGCCAAAATGACCCCTTTTGTGTTAGGGGTTCATATACTTTATTTTGCCTGGTCTCATGTACCTTATTTACACAATTAACAAACTGCCCAGTCAGAAAGAGTTTAATTGCATGGTTCCACCCATTTGTTTTGTGGAGTCACAAAACCATACATGGCTAGAAAGGGGGATTATATTTATTTACTTAATTATTGGTGTAGTACATGGGTTATTGTTTCTATTATTCTAATTAGCCACTTCTTTGCATATACTTTTGTAGACATGAGCTATTTCTCTGTGATAGATATGTAGCTAGATAGGTTGGATTGCTGAGTCAGTATATGCATATTTAAATTTTGATAAATACTGTAGTTTACTTTCCAGAAAGGCTTAAGGATACTGATTTCATTTTAAAACTGCTCTTTGGTACCTTCTTTGACTCTGATATGCCCGTATTCGGTTGGAGGACAAACTTGATCCCATACAAGTTTGCAACTCACAGATACTACTTTGGTGGTCTTGACATGCCTATAGGAACTCATTCAAGCCTGTTAGCATTTCTCCATCAGAGACTTGAACTGCCTGTCTCCTGCAGTTCCATGTATTTTACAGCCTATTTTACTTAGATGTTTTTATAACAACAATCACAGCCGTATTTATGTTAATGTGTTCTAGTAGAGATGTATTACATAAGAAATTTAAAACACGAACCAATATTTTTTCTTCAATACAGGAATGGGTTGGACAAGTGGAAATAAGTGCCCTTTCTCTTATGTACAGGTAAATACTGTAACAAGTAAACGGAATCTGTAGAAAATTAGCATGATCTGTTAAAATGTCAAGCTAGCAAAGCCATTTTATACTTTGTTGCATAGCATTTTTGGGGGATTTCATATCTGTCTTGTCTGTATATACTTAAATCATTTTACTGGGGGCTGTTAAACAAATCTTGTAACACTCCCATCATTCAGTGGTTCATATGTTGCCGTCAACATTTCCAAAACAAATATTTTTTTAATTGCATTATTTAGATTTTAGCATGGCTAGAGTTTGGACATTTTAATTCTTAAAATATTTTTGGAATAGCGTACAGACTTTTCCCCACCAGGTTATGATTTCTCTTTGTCTCAGGGCTAGCAATAGTGAATGCCTGCTAGACTAGAACTAAAGCAGAATATTAGTAAATTTTATTGTTTTTGACCGGTAGACGGGCATATGAGTAACACCCCCCCCCAAAAAAAGATAATGTCTATAAATTTCACTTCCACAATTTCTATAAATGCTCCAAGTTCTCGTTTTAGAATTTAAAGTAATTGTTATTTACATTAGGTTGATTCTGATTCTTGGCAATTCTATAAGTACAGAGAAGAGCTACATAAGAATTTCAAGGCTGTGATATCTCTGAAGGAGAATGTTTTTTATTTACTCCCATATCTTTAGTGAAATAGCAGTTGCAGTTAAGCGCTCATCTACTAATCAGATGGTTGGTAGTTGAAATCCACCAGCTTCAGTGCAGGAGAAAGATGTGTCAATATGCTCTCATAAGGATTTACAGCCATGGAAAACCCTGGGGGTGGGGGTGGGGGCCAGTTCTGTTGTCTCCAGTAGGGCTGCTGAGAGTTGGAATTGAGTCAAAGACTGGTTTGGTTTGGTTAGGTTTCTATCTGGGGCCTAGAACATTGCCTGCCACATATTAGGCACTTGAATGAATAAATGATTACAATCATGAAATACATTCTCAGACTAATTTCTAAATGTTATTTTCAGGAAAGATTTTGTAATTTATCAGGAACCAAATGTTTCTCCTTCACAAGTAACTGAAAATAATTTTCCTGAAAAGGTAAGTAGTTTTCTAAATGTCTAAAAGAATTTAAATATGAGTTCCTCAGTTGGCTACCATCACTTCTAATCTGTAATTTTTCATTGACTTGAAATAATTCTGTAGATGGCTATGGTATTTTGCATTTTTTAAGTATCAGGAATCCTGGTGATGTAATGTTTTATGTGTTGGGCTGCTAACTCGTACTTCAAAATCACCAGCTCTTCTGCAGGAGACAGACAAGTCTTTTTTTTGATGAGGCTTTTTTTATTCTTATAAAGAGTTAGTCTCAGAAATCCACAGGGGCATTTCAACCCTGCCCTGTAGGGTCACTGTCAGACAGTTGGCTCAATGGCAATGATTTGATTTTATTATTAATCATTAACTTTTAATTGAGTGTATATTGTAGTTCTCTCGCTATAAATCACTGTTGAGCCTTTCCTTAAAACATAGGAGATACCAGTGTACATGATAAACTAGATTATTGTTTTGCATAAGTAACAAATACGAAAAATAGTGCATCAAGTGTTATTGTGGTCATTATGGTATATTTGACTCATTGTAAAGATGATTCACTGATGAGAGTGTTGTCACAAAGCAGAAACAATGGGAAATAATTTGAATTCTCAGTAGGAAAAGAGTGCATTGACAGTATTATAAGCGAACTTTGTTTTAATTTTGGAGTAGCGCAGGCTCGGTTTAAGTGACTTGCTTGTCCCCATTATGGTGAGAGAAGGTGGGTATTGCGTGACCTTAACAGACTTTGGAGCTTTGGTCTGGATCTGGTCTTTGCAATGTAATTTTTGGAATGTAGCATTCTAAACAACATCATCATAGATTTTTCTTGTTGAAATAATTTGACTATTTGGAAATTACTGTAAACTATAGAGCAAGAAAAAATATCTTCTGCCTCCCAGAGGTAAGCATTATTCTTCATCTTTGATACTCTCTTGTTATATAATTGAAGTCATGCTGTTTTTATAAATTTTGTCATTTCTTTGGTGATCCCAAAATCATAAAATTTTTTTCGAACTTGATGAAAATATACAAGGCCATCAAAAGATTAGTGAATATCTAGTGTAAGAAGATAATAGAACCATGGGGGTGGAAATGTTCTAAAATTGATTGTGGTAATGATTGTACAATTCTTTTTGATACGATTGAATAAACTTTGGAATTGTATGATATGTGGAATAGGTGCCAATAAAAATGTGTAAAAACTAAAATAAAGAACACAAAAACAAAAATAGAAATCTATAAACTTTGAAGCCCCCTCAATATTTTCGTCAAAGAACTTTGTGGTTTTAGGTTTAACATTTAAGTTTTTGATTTCCGTAAGCAGTTTCCCTAGGTCACTAAGAACTGTACCATTGCTGACCATATTGGAGTTTTAAGTTGCTTCTAAAAATAATAACTTTATTTTGCAGAATTGTAGTAATACAGAGACTTTGAAGACATAAGTTGGTTGCTAAGTAAATATCTTACTCAGGATCTAAAACGTGTTTTCTTTTTTCCGTTCAGGTATTACTGTGTTTTTCAAATGGGAACCATTATGATATTGTCTATCCCATAAAGTATAAAGAAAGCTCTGCTATGTGTCAGTGTAAGTATTACTCTTGTATTTGTTTAGCAGTTATATTTCGAAGCTCTCCAATCTTACTGCAGATAAGTCAGGACAAATTTATTCCATTCTGATATTGCATGAAAAATACTGCTGGAAGTATTTTTTTACCAAAAGTATTACCATTATATAAATTTGTTTAATTGGGGGAGAAGAAAAACAGCTAGTGGTTAGAATTTGGTTAGTACATACAATGTTATATTTTGTCTGTAGGTATTTCTGTAGTAAGAATTTGTATGTGATTTTGAAGCGGTTATAGGTTGGAAATCCGAATGGATGAGCACCTTAAACATTCGATTGTATTTTGAAAGCTCTAGGACTGGGTTTTTTAACCTTGGCACTTGACTTTTCAGGACAGCTACTTTGTTGTGGGCACTGGTTGTCTTGTGGGGAAGTATCACTGATGTGTACCCGGGGGATGCCAGTAGCAGCCTCCCATTATGAGGATCAGAAATGACTCCAGGCTTTGTCAATAATCTCCTAGAGCCCATAGGGAAAAACTGCTCTAGGAAAAGAGTAAATGAGATATGAAAGTCTGTCTGTCCTGGCTGGTGTGTGCCTCTCCAAATCTCCAGATTTGATCATTTCAGCTTGGGGAAGGAAAGCTCATGTCTTTTCTTATATCTCTTGGTGCCTGTGGTTGGGGTGACATCAGGGTTGTGTCTTCTGTTGCCAGAATCTGTAGAAAGGTGTCCTGTGAGAAAAGGTCTTTGGGGGACTTGCTAAGAAAAAGTATGTTCTCTCATTGTTGATGAATGCATGTATGCTTTAGTTTTCCTTAAATACATTGTGAAAATATAAAGCCAAACAGGAGTCCTAAAACAGTCAAATTTTCATCTCTTGAAATTGTCAAGATTTCATATAATCTGGAGATGGATTATATAGTCAAATTAACTCAACGGTGCTTAACTCAAGATTCCTTATACTAGAAACAATTATAACTAGAGTGCAGATCTCAGCTTGTCTTTTAGGGTACCACACTCCTTTTTCTGCTCCAAGCTCTAAGAGTTTGGGTAGGTTTTATAACATCTCTGAATCTGACTTTTCCTTACCTATCCAATCATAACATACATCCTTGTGTTAGGATTGGAGCCCTGTTAACCTAGTGAATACGTGGTTGGGCTACAATCACTAGCAACTCCATGGGAGAAAGATTGACCTTTCTACTCTTGTGAACAGTTAGTCTCAGAAACCCATAGATAAGGGGCAGTTCTACCCCATGCTGTAGGGTTTCTGAGATAGCATCGACTTCATGGCAGCAAGTTTGGTTTGGGTTTGGTGTTAGTATTAAATATAAGGATTTGTAAAATTGTAGCAGTTTCTGTCAAATGTAGCTATTGCTTGTCTGTGCATTATTTATTAGAATCAAACTTGTCTCACGGTTGTGATTTTATTGCTGCTGTTTAAAATGACAGTATCATGTGATCATTTTGAGCTAATTAACTGTGCACAGCCAAATCCTGGTTACTCTGGGCAACTTTCTGTCTAGAATGTACAGTTGATGTGTTCCAGGTGTCCAATGGGGTTTTAAAAGCTGGGGCAATAGGCGATATCAATTCTAATCTCTCTTTATTTTTAAAAGCCTAATACAGTTGATAAAATTTCTTTTTAATTTCAGCTCTCATTTATGAATTGCTGTATGAGAAGGTATTTAAAACAGATGTTAGTAAAATCTTGATGGGTCTAGACTCCTCTGAAGTGGCCGATAAAAACAACAGTGATATATCAGATTCAGAAGATGACAATTGCAAGTAAGGATGACTTTAAAAAAAATCATTTTATTGGGTGCTTGTACAGCTCTTATCACAATCCATACATAGATGCATTGTGTCAAGCTCATTTGAACATAAGTTTCCACCATCATTTTCACTCCCTTTTCCCCTCTCATGAACTCTTGATAATTTATAAATTAGTATTTTTTAATGTAGTACACTGACCGATGTCTCCCTTCACCCACTTTTCTGTTGTCCGTCCCCATGGGGAGGGGTTTATATGTAGATTATTGTGATTGATTCCCTCTTTATCCCACCTTCCTCTTGCCCTCAGGATGAATTTAAATACTAAAGTTTCCTTATTTTTCTCCTCCAAAATCATTTTATTGAGGGCTGTTAAAGATCCCATACCATTCCATAGTTCAATCACATCAAGAAATATTGTTCAATTGCTATTCAAAATATTTTCTTCTTGAACTTGCTATCAACTCCCCTTTATCTCCCTCTTCTCCCATAAAACTTGTTTGTGCACATGAATAATAACTGCTGTTAATTTTCCTGCTTTGAAATGTCTCATGCTGAGGGAGGTGGGGTTTAGGGTGTTCTGTTTGCAGTTGTTTTCCTTAACTGTTCATTTTATCTGATTCTTACTAGGTTTTTTCCCCCAAATGTTCTTGGTCAATTAGGATCTATTTTGTAGTAAAATGCATATCTTTACAATATATTTGATCTTACTGTATGAGTGTGTGTTTTGTTAAAATTTTATGTTGTCAATTATCCATTGTTTATAAAATGGTCATTTTGACTTATTGTTATATTTTTCTTAGGTAATGCTTCCTCTCTTCTTTTTAAAAATAATGAACCTCCTAAGCTGAGGTTTATGTAAAAAATGCAGAGTATTGCAGCATTTTAGTGCTGAATAAGTATCTTTTAGGTGCTCTGGTGGTATAGTAGTTACGAGTTAGGCAGCAATCCACATGGTGGTGGTTCAAAACCACCAGAAGCTCTGAGGAGAAAGACTGGGCTTTCTATTCCCATAAACAGTTTTTCAGAAACCCACACTATGATTCAGCATTGACACAGTGGCAGTGAGTTTGGGTTTTATTGTTCTGTTTTAAGCTTAAGTTTGGCTAAGATTGAACTATGGACATCCAAATGTGATTTCAGTTCTGATTTCTAACTAATCTAGAGCAGCTTACTTGAGTTCACTGAGAAGTGTTAATTCTGCAGAGAAGTTAGGGTTTCCTCACTCAAAAACTTATCTGCTATCAAGTCAATTCCAATTTACAGTAGTCCTATGTAGGACAGGTAGAACTTGCCCTGTGGGTATCCAGACTAACTCTTAATAAGAGTAGACAGTCTCATCTTTCTTTTGCAGATGAGAGTGGCCTCAAACTGCTGACCTTTTGGTTAGCAAGCCCAGTGCATAACATCAGGATGCCTGGGTTTCCTCACAGGCATTTGGATATGTGAGATTTAGAATAATATGTAAGGGGCATAGTCCAGTTCCTGGAAATGTGTTTATTATTATGTATTTGACTTTTGGTCTGCATACTTCATAAGAACTAACCACTCAAATATTTGTTGTTGTGAATGGATGTACACTGCATTTATATGTGTTGTGTACTTTTAAGCTGATTCTGACTCATAGTGACCCTATATGACAGCGTAGAACTAATCCAAAGGGATTCCTAGGGTGTAATCTTTATGGAGTGACTAATAGGTTCAAACTGTTAACCTGTCAGTTGGCAGCTGGGCTGTTAAACATTTTGCTACCGAGGCTCCTTCTATAATTAGGTATGCCACAGTGAATTCAACTGATGGCAGTCTTTTGTTTGTATTCAAAAGTATTGATACAGAGCAGTGTTTGTCAACCTTCCTAATGTCAGGACCCTTTAATACAGTTCTTCATGTTGTGGTGACCCCCCGACCATAAAATTATTTTCATTGCTACTTCATAACTGTAATTTTGCTACTGTTATGAATCGGGTGACCCCTGTGAAAGGGTCGTTCAGCCCCCAAAGGGGTTGAGAATTGCTGATATTGAGTGTTTTGAATTAAAGGGTTGGTTGTTGAATCTTCTGTAGATAATTTTGTTGTAGTGGAATATTTGTTTAATGGCAACCTTACCTGATCCAAATTCTGATTTGTTTTCTTGTTGATGACTGAGCTATTAATAATTATTAATAATAAAAGCCTTTGACTTGCATCTCATATAAGTATTTAAATCCACACAAGTGTCTCCTTGCACACACACTAAAACTTGTAAAATGTTATTTTGAAGGTTAGTTCTTTACAGAGCTTAGGTTAGAAGTTCCTTTTGTAGAAATGTATTTTTATACTCCTAATTATGGATATTTTTTTCCTTAGGATTAAAAGTACCACCGCCAATGATGTGAATGGATCTAAAGCTTTGTCAGGCAATCAGGTATTTTTTTAAAGATAGTTTTAACCAGTCCTTCAATATGTGACTGCATATGAATTTATATAGTGTTGACTTTCTTTTTCTTTTTAGGACCTTTTCAATAACATCAGTCTTTTTAAAAATCATTTTATTCTGGATTGTACAACTTTCATCAAAATCCATACATACATCAGTTGTGTCAAGCACATTTGTACATTTGTTGCCATCATTATCTAAACATTTGCTTTATACCTGAGCCCTGTCTTTCATTGATCTACTATTTTGAAGTTGTCTTTTCCCTTTCATTTAACTTTTAACTCTTAATCGAATATTGAACATGTCTTTAAAAGCACTTAAAATGTTTAAATAATTATATTTACATAATTCATATATCATAGAGTTTGGTACTTTCAACATAATTAAAAAGTTGTGCAAAAAGCCTTTCAGCTTTTGAATTTCCGGCTTTTCTTTTGTCAGCATCCAAATAACAATGGGGACTCTGCTAGTCCTCCTTTGTCTAGAAAGGTTCTTAAATCACTCAATCCAGCGGTTTATCGAAATGTAGAATATGAACTTTGGCTGCAGTCTAAACAAGGTGAGTTAAAAGTTGAATTTTTCATAATTTTTGCTTTGTGACATTTCAGTATAATTAAGTCAAATTGATACTATACTGATACTGTTTACAGCTCAACAAAAACGTGATTATTCCATTGCTGCTGGCTTACAGTATGAAGTTGGAGATAAATGCCAAGTAAGAAAATATTTTGCTTGAATTCTTATCTATTTCTAATAGGAACCAAAAAATTTTAGTTTTCAATGTGTTATTTTGGGCTTTCAGAATACATTTATCATATGTCCCACTGCCATCAAATTGGTTCTGGTTCGTAGCAACTTTATATGCGGGATCCAAGGTTGTAAAGTTTTATAGGAACAGATAGCTTCAATTTTCTCCCTTGGAGCAGCTGGTGGATTTGACCCGGCGATCTGAGGTTAGCAGTTCAATGCTTACTTGACAACACAACCAGGGCTCCTTTTATCATGTATTCACTGTAATGTAAAGGCCTCTAGTGCCACTGTGGGTTAGCCACTGGGCTGTTAATGGCAAAGTTGGAAGTTCAAACCCACCAGCAGCTCCTTTGAAGCTGTCTGCTCCCTTAAGAATTTATACTGTTGGTAACCCTACGTAGGGTTGTTATGTATAGGAACTGACTCAGTGGGCTTGAGTTTTGGGGTATATTTTAATAGGTTACGAATTAGTTCAATTTGATTTGACGTGATTTTTATTTTATTTTTTGACTTCATGTTAAAGGTCAGTTTGTTTTGTCGTTTTTTTTTTTCCCTTCCCCCCCCAATCTCCACTCTACCCTTCACCCTCCTTGGGTTATGAAAGTTTTTTTATTTTGAATAAGCTATATCTCTGGGCCTGATTGTTAAAGGAGAAGGTTAATTTAGAGCAATAGTTTTAATAAACCTGGAGTGATTCATAACATTCAAGGCTCTCTGGGAGCACTTGAGAATGTGTAGAGGCAAAGTCTTGGTTCGGTGATTTCCCGGGGTCCTTTCTGTTTTTTTGCTTATGGAAAAATACTGAGGAGCACCAGAAAATTCATGGAAGAATGGAATGAAAAGATAGTGAAATTCCCCACACATATTTTGAAGCTCCTTCTTACTCCTTAAAAACAAAATTAAGAATGATATGTAAAATACTTTTTATCAAAAAAGTTCTTATTGAATAATGTTGTAACTTTGAAGTTAACTGTAAAATAACAATGGATAAAACATTTCTTGACTTGCAGAGAAATACTACTGTTATTTACTTTGTGATAAATATGGAGCATTGGTGACAGGCTTCATCTTAATAGTTTTAAATAATCTAGTTCTGAATTATTTGAAAGGAGAGGGAGAAGAGGATTTGGCTGCTTCATTTACTGGACTGTTCTGTAGAAATATTTAGAAATATGTTCTAAATCACAGAACTAAGAGTAGAAGCTTTTAATACAGTGAATTGGAAAACTTGAAAAAGAACAAAGGACATATCAGTTGAGCTTTAAGCCTCCACCCCTTTAACAAAGGAGATTGCTTATCTTAGACTGCATCATTAAATTATTACTTATTATTATAAATCGAACAGACACTGAGGTTGAAGTTGCTAAGACCTGCTTGTGTTTTCCTTTTAGAGTGTATTTGTTTCCATGTCTACTACGTGACTATTTCACTTTGGTTGACTTTAAATGAAATTTTATTATAGAAACTGAGATGACATGGGTGTTAACTCAAGTAAAGATATATGTATATGATAAAGTTTAAACTTTGGATAACTATTAATTCTTGAAAATTTTATTGTTAAACTGTTGAAGAGAAGACAAAATAATCCTTTTAAGGTTGATGAAGGAAACTTCTGTTACTAATACAAGATAGAATTAAAGCTCTGTTAATACACTAGTAGATTACTTAACTCATTGACACACATTGTTACTGGTATATTGATAGACAATCATTTAGTGTTTCAGATTTGAATATAGAGTAATTAAAGAAGTGTTTCTCTTTTGCCACAATTTACATCTGAGTAATTCCTATTGGATCTTAGGCAAGAGTGGATCTAGTTTTAGGAAGAATACTGTTATGGTTATACATTTATAATAATTAGCTTCTCTAGAAAAAGGTAATAATTAAGCAACAGCTGCTCTTTATTTGTAGGATAGTTGCCATGTACACGTTGGTGTCCTTTATGTTCAGCATATGCCTTCTCTTCATCTCCATGACTGCTATGATGTTGTATTAGTCATATTTTGCATGGGAGGTTACTGAAGTGTGCTGGGTTAAGTAACTTGTCCAAGGTCATATGGCTGGGGAGTGGAAAAGCTAGACATGGAATCCTGAGCCCCACATTTCAGATCAAGGGCATATTCAGCTTTCTACTTTGCTTGAGTTATTTAGAGAAGCAGTTTAGAAAAATTTTGGAGAGAGGTGGGTTTTAACTGTATGCCCATTTTAATGTTATTTTTCTTTTACCTTATATACTGTTTTTCTTTAATTGAAGACAAAATAATTTAAAAATTAATAATGCAAAGGAAGTCAGTGCCTGATTTTCTTTTTGGAATTTTTTTACAGGTTATGTTAGATCACAATGGAAAAATTTCTAATGCAGATATTCAAGGGGTTAACTCTGAAAATGGACCAGTTTTACCAGAAGAACTTGGAAAGAAGTATGTACTGCTATTCAACGAAGGCATTTTGGTCTCTACTCTTTTAGCTTACTAATCAAGAACATTTCTAGATGCTTCTGTGTATTTGCAAATTGAGTGAATGGTATTACCTATGTGTGGATAGGCTCTTTAGGAAAAAAGTAGTTTAATTGGATTCAAATTAAATCACTAAGTTTATTGAACACTTAAAAAAATACTTGATTTCTTAGAGAACAAAAGATTCTTTTTAAAAAAAAATTATTTTATTGGGGGCTCGTACAATTCTTACCACAATCCATACATGCATCCATTGTGTCAAGCACATATGTACATTTGTTGTCCTCATCTTTCTCAAAGCATTTGCCTTCTACTTTAGCCCTTAATATCAGTTGCTCATTCCCCCCCCCATGAGCTCTTCATAATTCATAAATTATTATAGTTTTGTCATAAGTTACAGTCTGACATCTCCCTCCGCCCTCTTCTCTGCTACCATCCCCCAGGGAGGAGGCTGTACTTAGATTTTTGTAATTGGTTCCCCC